TTTGCATCCTGTGCTCACCATGATTCCCTATTTAGCAGCAAGGAAGGCTCCAGGAGCTATTCTGACTTCACCTTTGTTTATTGAAATCATGTTTGGTTGTTTGTTTTTTCCAAACCGTTGATGCGTCAGACTTTCATATCGTACCTGAAGAAACTCTGGCTCGTATAGGTATCAACAGCCATGATTTTAATAGACATTCCTTTGCGTATTGGTGCGACTACCTCAGCAGCTGCCGCCGGTGTCCAGGATCATGTTATTCAGACTTTGGGTAGATGGTCATCTGACTGTTTTACTCTTTATATCCGAACAGATCCTGCTACAATTTGTAACAGCTTCATTCGCATCGGAGATATATCTGTGTTCCCGGACAAGTCTCAGTTTCACCTGTGTTTGTGTTCCTCTAAAACTGACCCTTTTGGAAAAGGAGTTGTCATCAAGATATTTGAGAACACTGTTTTAACTCCTGTGGTTACTATGTGTAAGTTTTTGACCACTCGTGTTACTCAAGGGGCTACCCCTTCGTCGCCCCTTTATGTAGACAATATGTTGACCTTAACGTCAAACCTTTAATGCGCCATACTTTTATCTCTTTGTTAAAAGAAACACTGACTCGTATAGGTGTGGATCATCAATCTTTTAATGGTTATTCTTTCCGGGTTGGTGCTGCCACCTCCGCAGCGGCTGCTGGCGTTGAGGATCATGTCATTCAAACCTTGGGTAGATGGTCCTCCAACTGCTATATACGTTATATTCAGACGGATCCTACCGTTATTTCAAATGCACAAAAATACGACCTTGTCCAACTGAAATAGTTTCATGTTTTACTTTGTGCTTGTTTACTTGTTCTTTATACCTCAATCTTCCATTTTAGTTATTATTACCTAGTTTATATTAAGTATTGGGGGCTCTCACTCACTAGTAATTTCCAATTCCTCGTTTCGTTCCATTTGGGTTTTAATTCCTGGGGAATTTTCCCCCCAATACTTTTCTGTAATATTATTTACTTATCTGTTGATTATTTTACTGCTTTTGCTTTAATTTTTCTGTCTATTCTTGATTCTACTAGGCTCTTGAATCGCTCAGGAGTTTCGTCTTGCCAGCTCTTAAATCGCTTAAGTCTGGTGGTCAGTTTG